TGTGGGGCTCTGTAATCCTAGAACCGCAGGGGAAGGAATGAAGGAGTTCTGAGGCAGGAGAATTGCCTGCTCTTTGACGCCAGTTTGGGTTACAGAGCTAAACGAAGCTACAAGTGCGAGAGCGTGGCCTGGTGGTCTCGGAACAGCCCCGGGGTGGAGACAGACAGCACTGTCAGTTCTGCGGGGTCACAGGAGTACGGGTGGGCCAGGGCGCAGGCATCACGGGTGGGGCTGGGATCGGGAAGGATTTAACTCTGGACGCTGTGTACAGGAACGACGCCAGATGGAAATTTAACATTAGGCCGAGAGAAACAATCTAGTTTCCTAGGCCGCGAGGCTCCGCTTTCTCTTACCCCTTGGTGCCCATCAACCTTCACACGCTCGGCCTCCAGGTCAGACCTTTGGCTTTTTTTTTTTCTTTTTTTAGATCAATGCTGGAGGCCACACGGCCAAGAGTGGAGGGGAGTTAATTTCTCTTCCGTTTGGTTTCTGTAGGCACTGTTTCGAGGAGTTTCAAAATCACTTTTCCAAAATAATACGCAGAAGCTGGTGATTTTGAGGCAGAAATTCACTGCGTTGTTGAAGATGACCTCGAAGTCACCAATAAAATCGGAGCAAGACAGTCAAAACTGTAAGGGAGAAAAAAGGTAAAAACAAAACAAAACAAAACAAAAAACAAAAACAAAAAAAAAACCCAAAAACATTTAAGTCGGTGATTCTGGACCCGGTTGTGGGGTGGCGTATCTCAGCAGCTTGGGGTGCTAGTTGGGGGCCTGCCTGCCTTCATGAATACCAGCCAGTCAGAGCTTGAAAACAAGATCCTGGAAACATGAATAAATAAATGAGTAAACACATAGGAAAAGAAACATACACACACATCCCAAAACCTGATCCTATGTCTTTGAACTGTGCAAGGCACCCATACTAGGCCTTTCCAGGGTCTTTAGGCCACTTTAACACTTGACTTTCTCTCTTGCTTATTCATTATAGTCAGGATCGACAAAAAGAGAATTTCTTTCTGTGGAAAGATGCTCCTTCCACATAAGAGATTTAAAATCTCAGATGCTGCAATTGTGTACAGAAACTATTATTCCTCTCACAGTCAGACTTGAACTGGTACTCACCACAGTCTAGATTCTTTCTCCTTGCTGGACAGAATCTTCCCAGTCTGGTCTCTATTTATTTTCTTACTTATCAAATGACTATGATAAGCGTAGCTGTGGAACAGGTTCGAAATATTATCTTGCTCCCAGGGCACAGATCTATCTTCTGGCATGACTATACTCCCAGTATGAGGGCTTCATCAGAAACAAAGTTTGGGGTTCCAGTAACTTCCCAAACTCTCAGATTCCAGATGTGGCTGAAGATGAAGAACATCTTAAAACTCAGACTGAAGTTCTGGCATTTGTTAAATGGTACCACCTCCACTTTCAGGAAGAACACTGGAGCACCAAAATACACTGGCCATTGCTGTCTACAACCTACAACTGGCTTCCTCAGTTGTCTCATACTTAATGTGCCCATCTCATTTACCTAGAAAAGCTAGACAAATGTAAGAGAAAAGAAGTAATCAGAAGGGCTAGGCAGGCTACAGAATATCTAGAAGAGGGTCTAGGACAGAAAACAGTACAGGATTTTTGTTTGTGCTGTTATATACCCATGGAACTATCAGCATTATTATATAGACTAAGTCTAATAATATCTGAGATTACCTTAAAAATTTTAGCAACAGAGCAAAATAGAAACCTTATAGTATTATTAATTGAGTGCCATTGTATCCTTTGATAGCTCAGTTGGTAGAGCGGAGGACTGTAGTGGGACTACCCCCAATGAGGAATCCTTAGGTCGCTGGTTCGAATCCGGCTCGAAGGACAGACGTTTTGACGGCATGTATTTAAGATGTAAATGACAGAGCTGTCATTTAGATTGAACCTAGAAGCCCAGGCCACACCACCTGCTGCTTCTGATAACTCTAGATTCTCCCTCCTGTGCCAACTGGAATTGTAGAATGGCAAGGGTCCCCCTGCTCTCAATACTTGTGTTTTTAACCAGGAATTAGATATTTTCGACAGCCAGTGGGGTCCCCTGTCATTTAGCAAGAATTTTATGAGTACTTTAATAGTGAAGCTATTAGTTCACTCAGTTTTACACAATGTGTCCCCAACACACTCCACCCCATTCTGACGATTCTACAGATGCCTAAAAATGTGTCGTCCTTTCAGCTGGGATAGTAGGATTGAGAAAAGATGGGTGTGAGCTTATAAAAGAGTCTCTATTCCCCTCCTTCCTCCCCGTTATCGGAGATGACTGAAGAGGAAGGAGCCTCTGAAATGACTGTGATGGGTGACGTAGGAGAATCTAGGCAGACCTCGTAAATATCTGCAGGCTGTGTTTTTGCTCTTGATGTATGTGTTCTGGTTTTTTCTTCTCAGAGGCTTTCTGGTGCACCTAGGCTCTCCCAGCCCCTTACAGCCTTCCGCTCCCTACCTTCTTTCTCTGTAGTCACAGCTCCTAGCCTTTCACAATTAATAAACTCTAAGTCTCCCTGGGCAAGTGGCCATCGGTTGCATAAGAAACCAGGCTGAGCAAACCACACTGAGCAGGCCAGTAAGCAGCACCCGTCCATGGTGGCGGCTTCAGTTCCCACCTCCAGGCGTCTGCCTTGCTTGAGCGTCAGCCCAGGCTTCCCTCACCACAGACTGTGATGGAGACGTGTAAGTTAAGGAAACCCTGTCCTCCCCAAGTCGCTCTCGGTCACAGTATTTCAACCTGGCGATCGATTTCAAACTAAAACACCGATCAAAAACCCGTCAAGTTTTGTGTCTCATGCATTTGCATTCACCCTGGACTTCTCCTGTTCTTCAGAGAAGAGAACTGCGTGTGTCTCTGGTGAACTGCGCGATAGCTTTGCTTCAGGGTGGCACAACTGATGTCGGCATTTTCTCCCACTTTTAATAGAGGGAAGAGGCCCTAAAGAACAGGACAGCACAGCACAGCAGGACAAGTGCGACGAAGGCAGGATTCTAGTATATCAAATGCTTTCCTGATGGATGCCTGATTTAAAAAAATGAATCAGAAAATAGAGCAAAATGCCCATCTATTCATAAATCATAAAGGGTTTGACAGGCCCCTTCGATAGCTCAGTTGGTAGAGCGGAGGACTGTAGGTAATTGCTGATATCCTTAGGTCGCTGGTTCGAATCCGGCTCGAAGGAGGTGTGTTTTGATGACATTTAGACCCAACTATCAAGAGATAGTATAAAGATACAATAAAAGCAACAGTACTTATTAACAACGATCTTTATGTGTATAAACTACAGGTAAGCCTCTAATGTTAAGGAGATGATCCATTGTAAACATGCCAGCAAGGTTTTTATATGTCATAATTTGTAATATCCAAACCTTTCCTATTTCATACGTTCTGTAAAAATTCCTGGATGGCTTCTGGTTTTCCCCAACAGTAATTATTTTTCTGTCTTATGACCAGGAAACTGTTCAGTTTCATTATGAGTGTTGTTAGTCAAGCATTACAGCGTACTTAAAAACGAAATGGGTAAAATTACCGTCTGAAGTGTCTATGTAACGTTTCATTTATGTGCCCCACTACCCTTGTGCAAATTAGTGTGCACCACTCCTTTCTTACGTGTCAAAGGCCTCTCAAGTTTTGTAGCCCATGTGTTCGTGTCTACCCTCTGGTTTTCCTTTGTTCAGAAAGGAGAACCACGAACGTCTCTAATGAGACAGACAGACAGCAGCTCTGGTTCGGGATGGCAGTGTCTGTCTTTGGTTCCACTGTCATTTTCATTCTCTTTTAGTAGAAGAGAGGTGCTAAGAAGACTTCTTCACAGCAGGGAAGGTCAACAGAGGGGCGGATGGTCCCATTTGTGCATGAACATTCCTAGGGGCATTATTTTTGAAAAATCTATGTGAAACACTTACACATTAAAAGCACGTGTCTCCGACGGGTGTTTAAACTCCTGTGATCACTTAGCACCTCAAAAACATTCCCTTACAGTCCACTTCACAGACGAGTCAGTACAACCTACCTGCTGCTCTTCCACAAACGTTACAGAAACCCCCTCGTGTCTTCCTTCGATAGCTCAGTTGGTAGAGCGGAGGACTGTAGAGTGAGCGCGGTAATCCTTAGGTCGCTGGTTCGAATCCGGCTCGAAGGAACCATGTTTTGAAACAGTCCCGACCAGGCTTGCACAAACGGAACCCTTGGATTTTTAAGGAAAAGTTGGAGAATTGCAGTGAATCAACGTCGCTTGAAATGCACAAGTGTAGACAAACACTTGTGTTTAACAGGCCCCGAGTGCTTGGCATCGAGTGTGCCTTAATTCATTAACAATACCTTCAAACGTACGCAAAGAGAAACAGCAACAGGGGTTGCCATTAGCCACCAAATGGGGCCCCTGTGCCTCTTCCCCAGTTTTGAGCTATGTGCGGCGCTCTCGAGTGTCACTCTTGCCGGGGAAGGAGTCTGTTCTCCCCACACAGTTTTCAAACGAGGAGCAGAGGTGATTTCAAGCTCCAAAACAGGCTCCGGCTTGGACCACCAGCGGCTGGGCCGACCGCGCCCCCTGGCGGCAGACGCGCGGTCGGAGAGCAGAACTGAGCGCTCTCCCGACCCTGGTTCGCAAAAATCTCGCGAGAGGCGCCAGTGCGCGCGGGCAGAAACACTTATACACTTAAAAAATTTTTTTAATTTAAAAACACTCCGCGAGAGCTTGGGCCAGGCCAAGACTGCACCCCGCGGAGGCGTTCTCCCTGGACCCATCCTGCGGCTCCGCCTCTTACGCAAACGTGCTGGTTCCGCCCCGCCCCCGCCCGCCCCAAGCCCCGCCCCAAGCCCCGCCCCCAAGCCCGGCCTTCAGATCTGAACATCCGGTCCGCTGCCCTGGGAATTACGTCATAGGCTACCTTTATCCTGGCCCCGACCGCACATCGGCTCGCAGGATGTGCGTCACCGGATGGCGACAGGTTTACGGCTGTCGTGCTCTCCGCGTCCGCCATCATGAAAGCCGCAGAGATGGTGAAGAAGCGAAAGGCGGCGATGGAGGGAGAACCGCAGGAAGAGGCACAGCCGAATGCAGAGGCGGCGGAGGAGCAGGAAGAGCAGGAGGAGCCGGAGGAGCCCGAGGAGCCTGAGGAAGCGACCTGCAACGGCGGCAAGAAGAAGAAAATCGTTCCGGGTATTGTGTACTTGGGTCACGTCCCGCCGCGATTCCGGCCCCTGCATGTACGCAACCTGCTCAGCGCCTACGGTGAGGTGGGACGCGTTTTCTTCCAGGCCGAGGGTAAGTCTTTCGTGGAAAGGACATGGTGCAGGCAGAGGGGCACGTCCTGATGTTTTGGCTGTACACTAATGAGGCGTGAGGTGCTGGCTTTTGGGAGGCTCCTTATTGGCTGCTAAATCTGTAGCCCTCACATCTCTTAGGCTTCTGGGGCCGGGGGAAGGAAAATGGAGAGGGAGAGCGCAATAATAAGGTCCGAAAGGTAACCCCGATTTTCAAATAATTGGTGGAACAGTGTATAATTAGCTTCCTTCAGCCTCGTCCACCTCTCTTGGCACACACATGTTGATATGGGGACTAGTGCAGTTCTTAGTGTTCAGGGAGTTATCATTTGAAGAGAGGACCGAGTTGAAAGGAGAGGCTTCACCTTACAGGTCGTCTTTTTGCCTCAGTGACACCCAGGCTAGGCAGGTGTATCTCAGTGGGTGCTTGACCTGGATGTTCATTGTGTTTGGCCCACAGACCATTTTGTGAGACGCAAAAAGAAAGCAGCAGCGGCCGCAGGAGGAAAGAAGGCAGCGAAATACAGCAAGGACTATACCGAAGGCTGGGTAGAGTTCCGTGACAAGCGCATTGCCAAGCGAGTGGCAGCCAGCCTACATAACACGCCCATGGGTGCCCGAAGGCGCAGTCCTTTCCGCTATGACCTGTGGAACCTCAAGGTGAGGTTCTAGGTTTCCCTGCCACACTTCCTCCAGCCCTAGCCTAGGCACCCTGTCCTTCATGCTAGCTATAAGCAGCTCCCAGTTTCCCGTCCTGCCCTGGTCTTCCCTGTCTTGACTTTTTGTGTTTCTGTCCACAGTATTTGCATCGTTTTACTTGGTCCCACCTCAGTGAACACCTTGCCTTTGAGCGCCAGGTACGCAGGCAGCGCCTGAGAGCAGAGGTCGCCCAAGCAAAGCGAGAGACTGACTTCTATCTTCGAAGTGTAGAACGGGGACAACGATTCCTTGCATCTGAAGGGGACACTACTCGCCCGAATAGCTCCTGGACATTTGCTCAACGACCCACTGAGCAGGAGCTGAGGGCCCGGAAAGCAGGAAGGCCGGGAGGCCGGGAACGAGCCTGGCTGGCTACAGTGCAGGACCAGGCCCGATCCAATAGAGGACTCCTTGCCAGGATCTTTGGAGCTGCTCCACCTGCAGAGAGCAAGAAAGAACCGTAGCCAGTCAGACTCCTGGTGGAAGAAAAGGTCGCTTGTACCTACCAGCCCTGCTGTCCTCTGCCCTGCCTCCTGAAGAGTGTAACTGACTATCTAGGCAGATGTTTTCTCTCTATTCCAAAACAGAGTCGGGTAGAAGGCCTTTTTTTGTTGGCCTCTTTTACCCACTTTGATCAAAACCTGTAAGTGCTGGGCTGTGAACCTTACTTGTGCTGTCCAGGATGATGGCTACTATAGGTTCCTGTTGCATTTTGTGTGACTTTTGGTTGACTGCCTCTTTCTCAGTGAGCTCCTAACAATTTCTGCCTGGAACAGTGGACTTGCCTTCCACTAGAGTAGCAAAGGCAAGCCCATGTGGTCTATGGTGTTTGTTCTCTGTGGTGGGGGGCAGAATTAACAGAAATTGGGTTAGTGGCCAATTTGATGTTTCTATTTGAAAATAAAAAATAACTTATTTTTATACAGTTTTTAGTTACTCAGGTGGGAATATCCATCCAGTGAGTTTCAACTTCTGTCTGAGGCATACATGCTACTCAGATTACTCTAGCACAGACCCATCCATGAATCTGTTACTCTAGCAGATATGATCCCAAAGTTCTTCATACATTTTTCATTTTGAAATAGAGCCTCACTCATGTGCTTAGGTTAGCCTTGAGCTCATTCTGTAAGCTGCTCAAGTTAGCCTTGAGCAAACTCTGTGGCCAAATAGGCCCTGAACTTGAAATCCTATTTCAGCCTCCCAAGTATCTGGGAGGACAGACCTGGGTCGGCAAGCCTAGCTTCAATATTCTTAAATTTAATAAATAAAATAATTTTATCTTCATTTTATTTGTAGAATAAATTCTTTATCTTGAGAAGGTGTTTATAAGTTTTCATGAACCTTATCATTTAAGATGTTTCAGTACCCAATTTGGTACATGTCTTATGTACACAAACAGCATACGCAGTAAGAGAGATATTTACCATTAGATCTAGACTTGTTACCATTAGAAACAAGACTTAGCCAGTGTATGATGTCTTCATGGATCCATTCCCCCTGCCTTTGTGGACACTTCCTGTCTCCAAACACTGGGTTTATCACATGGCATATCCTGAAACTTCTCTTCCAACATCCTGAACTCCTGGCCCCTGTTCCCTTCCTCACAAGCTCAAGTGCATTTCTCCCTCAAGATTAAGTCAAATAGACTGTCGGGCCAGCTTCCCCTCCTCCGGGGAGTGCTCGGCTTCTGTGGGGCTGGAGCGTTGTGTCATCTCTGGAGCAGCACTCCTGTTTTAGAGCAACTGTTGATGTCCTGGTGTTATCAGGAATGAAGAGAGAACTTTTATCTTTGACTCCTAAAGGTTTCACTTTGGTAAATATTCACTCATTGAGTTGCTGTGAGGAGAGGTTTTATAAAAATACAAAGAATGCGTTCTGTTCTCTGTGATGTTTTCTTTGACAACCAATTGGGAAGGAATTATCTACTTGTGACAGTGATAGGGAGTGGCAGGAAGTTCTCAGTCTAAAGAGTGACATAGCTAACAAGGCAGTTTCTTGTCCCTCTGGGTCTCTTTGTAAGCCTACTCTTTGCATATCAAGTCTGTTCTAGAGAAACAGTGGTAAGACCAGAGAGAAAGTTAAGGTAGAAGACATTAACTTGTGATTAAGCTGTGTGACTAGAGACAATAAGGAAACTGGCAAAATCAAATGTTGGCCTGTCTTTAATCTCAGTACTTGGGAGGCAAAGGCAGGTGGATCTCTGAGTTCAAGGCTGGCCTAGTCTATATAGTGGGTTCCAGGACAGCCAGGAATATGTAAAAAGAATGTGTCTCAAAAATAGAAGAAAGAATCAAATGTTACTGGAGATGTAATGAGCGTTTTCTATCTTGTAGATAAGTTACCTATTTCCAGAGATAGGTGGTTAAGGCTCATCTCCTGCCCTGTGGAGGCCAGTACAGCCTGCTGCTTCAACTGGCACTGTGAATTCTGAGCTGTGATCTTCATGTCCCCTGGGACGTTTCAGGTTCAGAAAGTGCCTTGTCACTTTGTTGCTGGCTGTAGGATCTGCAGTGTGGCGTTACTAACAGCCAAAGCTGGTTGATCTGACTTGTAAGGCAAGGTGGGGTCTCTGCAGCTGAGGTCATTGTGCCCATACTTGCTGAATGTCACTGGCACTATGGGCTGTGGGTTAGCTTGCTTCCGTCATGGTTGTCCCTGGATATTAGTTACAGTCTGATGTGGGTTAAATGTAGCGGATAGTGCTCTCGTTTTTTAAATTGATTTTAAAAAAGGATTATTATGTGTATGTCTGTGCACAGAGGTCTTCTATCCCCTGGTGCTGACAGTTGTGAACAGCCATGTGAGTGTTGGGAACCCAGATCAGCAGGAACAGCATAGATCCCAATGCAAGCAGATGTCAATCTGATGTGAGTTACTGTAGACACTGGCGGTGCTGCTCCAAGGAATGGACCAGGAGGAGGGCAGGCAGCTGAGCAAGCAGTGTAAGGAGCATCACGGTTGAGGCATTTGCTGTCTGTCCTCCCTAGAAGAACAGGAAGGACAGAACCACACCAAATGGAAATGAATTCAATCAGATTGAGGCATTTTTCTGTTGCTTATCTCCTTACTGAAAAGTAGTCTGTAGCCCTAGCTGGCTTGTGCCTGCCTAGGTAGAATGAACTCTCAAATCTTACCTCTAAGTGCTGAGATAACAGGCGGGTTGTTCCTTTCAGTTTCAGACTCCTGAGTTCCTGTTTGGGAATCAGACCCAGAAAAACTTTCAATAAGCTATTTCCAGATTCTTCCTAGTGAAGTTAGGTATTCGTTTCTGTCAGAAAAAGGAGACTTCAAGAGCGATGGTCGAGGTCTAGTGAGAGGACTCAGCAGGTAAAAACACTTGCCATGAAGCCTTAGGACCTGGTTTTGATCCCTGGAACCCACATGGTAAGACAGAGCCAACTCCTGCGTGTGTCCAGATTTCCACATAGGAGCCCTGGCACTCACTCGTCCCTGCCCTCAAATAAATACATGTTAAAAAAAATTAAAAAACAAAAATAGACTTTACATTCCTGAAGCTGGAGGCTAGACAAGTGTCAGGAAGGCCAGTAGGTGTCAACAGCGTTAAGAAAATCATCATTGAGAAAGTGCAGGAATCCTGTAAGGACCAGCTCCACCTGGGATGCTCCAAGAATGACCTAAGGAGGGTTGGTGGTCCTGGCTATGGACCAAGAAAGTTCTTGTTAGGCGGTCGATGTGACCAGCTGAGACCTGGATTAAAAAGTTGCCTTTTTTTTTTTTTACCAGTAAGTTGGGGTGTTGGTGCTAATCATTGTAATCTACCCATGTCAACTTCTTTCTGAGAAGTTCATAAAAAACAAAAACAAAAAACTCGGTTATAACTTGAACTAGATTACACAAAGTGGGAAGGTCTGGGGGGGGAGGTGCAAAACGTTTCTGAAGGAAAAGATAAACTGGCACTGGTCCATGTCCTGTACCAACCACGCCACTTTTTTAAACCTCCTGAGAATGAACACAAAAAGGGCGGCTCACCAGTTTTCTTTGATAAACGACTGTTGCAGTCCGCATAGAAACAAGCTGCCATGGCGTCATAGCCAACAGAGAGCGGCTTTAGCAGGGAAGCGGGGTGCATCTGGTCAGACAGGCATGAACACTGCTCCAGAACTGCAATAGTCCTTGAGGTTTGGGGCCTCTCCGCCGCAAGGGGGCGACGTGGTTATGTTTCTGCCCAGCGACTGGGGCTGAGGTGTCATCTCTGGCAGGATGAGCTGTACTTTTCTTTGGCCTTCCCACCACTATTCTACTATGCCCACGCGCCGAGCCTGCTTTCCGCCATCCCGTCATTGGGAGGACTCTCTGGACTTGACCTTAGGGAGGGAGCCACACCTTGAGAGGATTGAGAGGATCACCAGTGTAAAGGAGGTCCGCCCCTCGGAGTGGTACAGGACGGACTGTTAGTATTTAGGCAGCTTGTTTCTGGGTTGCCTAGTAACCTATGATGTCATTATGTGTCGCCTGCCAGACACGGTTCTGTTGCCCCTAAAAAGACCAACCCGCTACTCCGTTTCGCTCTTGCTCTTGCTCTCTTACTCTCTTGCTTTCCCCTTTCTCGGTCGGGGCACTCCCCTCCCCTCTCCCTATCATGTCTAGCTCTCTGCTTTTCTCTCTCCATCCAATAAACCTCATTGGATTTAAGATTGTTTGTGTGCATGGTATTTTTATATAAATATTAACACATACCCAGACACCAAATTCTCAGTACAAAGATTTGTTACCCTGGAGGGTCAAACGGGGGGCAGCGGGGGATGGAAAGTGGAGAAGCAGCAGCAGCAAGCGAGAGCAAGGGAGAGAGCAGGAGAAGGTGTTTTTGAAGGAGTGGGTTTTTAAGGAGAAAGGGGAAGAGTCTGCGCTAGGGTGAGTTGGTAAATCCTGATTACACGTTTTAGCCAAACAATGAAGTTTGATTGTTGAACTTTGGTGTTTTGTCTCAGTGAGTCAATGGCCAAATAAGGGAGTAGACCTTGGGGACTAGCTTTGGGAATGTAACAGCTGTTCCTAAAGGAGAGAAAGGGGTAAAGGGGCAAAGCCTGTCTGCAATGTTTGCCATGCTCAGGTCTGTTTGCCATGCCTCTGCCTGCTAGAGCATCTTCAACCAAGACACATGCAGGCCACAAAAGGAGGCTGGAGTTTGGACCTCTGTGTGGGTATTCTCTCTTCTGGCTGTTTGGTGGACTTTCGGGACAGTATAGCTCAAGTTTGTTTAAAAATTTGAAGACTTGAGTTTTAAATTGTTTTTCATTGAATGTTCTTGTATGGTGTAGTTCTTTGTTCTACAGTACTTATCGTATTGCATTATTTAAAACAGATGCTGGAAGGATGGCTGGCCACGTGGCTGGGTGAGGCAAGGTGAATGGGTTAATTTAAGTGAGATAGTTTAGAGTCTGCCCAGCTAAGGCCTAAGTTTTGAAAATTTAAAAGGTCTTGGCATCTTTATTTTTATGATTTGAAGGCCGCCCTAGGGCTTAAGTTTCTTCTTCTTCTTCTTCTTCTTCTTCTTCTTCTTCTTCTTCTTCTTCACAGGAGATACAGCCTGTCATCTACAATAGAGTGTAAAGTATGTTTAAAATGTCACAGTTTTGAAAACTGTGATAATATCTTGACATACATTGTCCCCAACTCTCAAAAAGTAACATGCCAAGAATCTATCTGAAAATTCTGAGACACTTGTTTTTATTTCCATAGTATGTTAGAGCTCTAAATTATATCATTGTTGGTGAATGTGCAGGATAGTTTTATATCAACTCCACCAGGCTGAAGTCGTCCGAGAGGAGGGAAACTCAAGAAAATGCTTCCAAAACACGGGCTGTAAGCAAGTCTGTAGGGCATTTTGTTAATTAGTGATTGATGGGGGAGGATCCTGCCCATTGTGGGTGGTGCCATCCCTGGGCAGGTGGTCATGGCAAGCTGAGCAAGCCATAGGGAACAAACCAGTCATCAGCATCTCTCTATGGCTTCTGCGTCAGCTCCTGCCTCCAGGCCCCTACCCTGTTTGAGTGCCTGTCCTGACTTCCTTTGATGGTGAGCTGTGCTGTGAAAATGTAGGCCAAATAAACCCTTCCTCCTCAAGTTTCTTTGGTCATGATGTTTCATCACAACAGTAGTACCCCTAAGACAGCAAATAAACGTACTGTGTGTGTGTGTGTGTGATTAAACATAAGGTAGGAAGAAGAGATGTGCTCCTGGGCATGAACCTTCAGGGCAGTACCATCGCTTGGGCGGCCCACTTCCGCCTTTCTAATAGCCTCTGTGTCTGGTGCAGGGGCAAAGCATC